CGCGCCACATCACATGCCACTGCTTGCAAGCATTTTTGTACGCACATACAGGATTCTACGCGCGACATCATATTGTTTTGATAGGGCAGTACATAAGCTGCAGTAGCATCTTAGTTTGAACTGTAAGTCTGATCAAAAGGCTGCTTGAGAACACGTGTTGTGTCTCGAATGGTGGCTCTGCCTTGCTCTTGCTATGTTTGAACGCTCGTGTGTGATGCTTGCGAATCCTAGAAAGGGTACTGTGTGCGTACATATTGTTGTACTTACATATTCCTGTTGTAGTGTTTCCGCGCACACTTTTTGTTCGCATATACTCTTACAATCTTTTACACGCGACATCATATTCTTTTCGTCGGGGCAACACACATGCTGGAACAGCATCTCTTCTTCTGTGCGCTACAAAACGTGAGTCAAACCACTCGTGTGCCTGTCTGATGGGCGTTGGTTGGGCCCACTGGAAGCTCTCATGATTTTTTGTGATTAAATTACTTGATTGTTTGTCTCAGGTGTTTTGGTTTGTAGAGTTAGTTGCTACCTGTAATGTTTGTTCCGCTGGACCATTAAGGGCGAGGCCACACACAAAGATGCGTTTCCTTGGCTCGGGGAAAGGCGCTGGATGCGGCCAAAACGAAAAACCAAACCCCCAGGTCGCGTCTTCTTTGCCTCCAATTACCGGTTCGTCGTCCCCGGTCCCAGTCCGAAGGTGATATCGTGATATCTAGCAGGTTCGAGATCAGAGCTGTGTGGGTCAGGAATTGATTTCGACCACCGATCTCACTTTAGATCAGGATTTCACCAAAATGTGATCAAGCAGCTTTGTCTTGACCACATCATGCAAAGTCCTGGCAGCAAACATCTTGACCGAGCAAACCAGCTGCATGTTTCGAGACAAGACCATACTACCCATCGGCGACATGTTCGGCCTGCAATTTCGGTCGACGCCATCATCCAGAACTGCTAGCACATCTGGAGGTGCATTCACATCCACCTCTCCATCCGTGCTGAGGGCAGACCTCGGCATCTGCCAAAATGGTCGTACAAAGACCTCATCGTAGGATTCAAGAATGAATGTCCTTGAAGACACAGAGTGTTCTTGACAACCCTGATACCATAGAACAATCTATATATATATACATATAGAACATGTGTTTCTCCGAGCTGCTGTTTGAGCACGACAGAGCCTGTAAACGGTGCTTTGGCGCATCCCATGTTCACGCCGAATTTGTGGTGATTCCCTGCGAAACTTGCACGGAAAGAGGCTCACATGCTGAGGTTATCTCATATCCCTCCTTTAAATGATGGAATAGTTGAAGAGTTGAATCCTGCATATACGATATGCAAAAAAACAATAACCTATTTACACTGAAACATTATATTTATAGTATATGTACTAGTTACTAGTGTGTGTGTATATATATATATATAGTAGTTGTACTTGTATGCATTTATATATTTAATTCAGTGAGATACATGTACTTTTTCAGGCACAGTGCAACTTCATGAAACGTCGCCCAAGGAAGGCCACACCAGAAACTTCACAGAAACAGCTGCAGTGCCTTCCCCCTTCTTGGTCAGGCGACCATCACCTGCATAGCGCTGTCTTGATTGAGCAAGGGAGGGAGGGAGGGAGGGAGGCAGGGATTTGGCAACATGCTAACTTGGATTCGTAGGGGGAAAGCCTCATAGACCCCAACCTCTACCCAGCCCGAAGGGGGTGTATGCGCTGATTGTGATGACTTCCGACAGGAAGCCCTTGATTTGTGTCGTGGCACCGCCATCGAAGTAGGGAAACGCTCCAAAGCTATCGATGTGCTCGTGGAAGGCCTCGCGCAGCGGGCGATAGGTTGCACTGCCCTACCAGGGCCCCCAATTTTGAATTGTCTAACAATAGCCCCTTAGAGGTTAAGGAATGTCCTTTCACCACCTGTTAGGAGGCCCTGGCAAGAGTGCGACCCTCGGTACCCCCGTCCCTGTGAATAGGTGGAGTCTCCAACGGATCGACCATCCGCAGAATCCTTATCAACCCAGCCAGGCTGGGCAGGGCAAATCGGCTTCTCAGGATGTCCCAATCCAATGTCCGGTGTTTCTCACAGACTTCTGATGCCTTGAACGCCACCATCACGTTCTCCTGGTTCTGCTGAATTGCTTGAGTCAGCTTGGCTCCTGTGGTAAGTTTGATGCATCAAGCATTCTCGGCCCTTCAAATTCTCCCGTAATTGCACTTGAAGTGAGAACCCTAATTCAAGTATTGTCTACTCTTGATGCATAAAAAGACACATTGGACAGTGAAACTTCAGGCGTGGGGCGGCTTCATTCGATCATAGACTCTACATCATAGAGATTTGCTTCGATATATACTTCCACGCGAGCCAACCAAAAATGCGCCCGCGTGGCGCCACCCGGCTCTCCCCACAAACGGGTCCTATGCGCGGTTCGAAATAGCCTGAGATCAAATAAGAGGATGAAGCATGCGAAGCAGTCAATGATTCGAACAACAGAAATCGCAACATGGGTGACACTTCGCTTTCTGAGAGAACAAGGAGGTTCCTGCAACTGTTCGGCCTAGCAGCTCCCCATGCTACCCTGCAGACAATGCGGAGGAAATGGACCGCCACAGGTCATGAAGGAGCAGTGATCATGGGGGTGATAGTCCTGAGCTGAACTCGTGAAGCTCCGTGCTTTGGAGAACCAAATGGCTCAAAAACCAGCAACCTGAGCATGTCGCCAACATATAGCATGTTGCCTGCGACCTTGAACAGACCTGTCCCGCATGCGTGAAAACTTGTTCAAGTCCGACGAGACTGTCTCGCATGCTTTGCATCCATGATGCCCTTGTGGCACAAACGCAGCTGCCACTGGTCATAGCAGTGTCCTGCGATTGGTTTCGTCGTGGTTTCGGAGGAAGGGATGGAGGAACATACAATGCCATAAGTGTCCCCCTACGTCTCCTCATTAGGTTCGACAGATCTAAATCACCCACTGGCCCGGCCATGTTGCTTTGCTTGAGTCCCAAGCACAAATCAAAAGCCCTCCATCACCAAGGCCTTCCAGAAGGTCCATTTGGATGTCTATTAAACAAAGGAAAATGGGGTTATGTCTTGTTGATTTATTTGTTGGAGTTCTCTTGGGTGCACCTATGTCTTGCTTGACGGTCTATGGTGACCTCCCTGCCCCCCACATCACCTGGACCAATTCGTCCAATCTAGCTACTACCTAAAGACGGCCTACCCCCCCAATAGCGATGGCCTCCACCTAGTAGCTTCTTGCTACCTGGTAGCGATCAAAGACATACTAAAAAGCTGTTGGACGCTACTAGGGGCTCCTGGCCTTACTACTAGTAACAAGAAGGCTACTAGGGGCTCCTGGCATCGCTACTAGTAACAAGGACGCTACGAACAGGCCTCCGGTTACAGGTGAAACGATTCCACCAAGGCTCCACCAACGCTTCGATCAAGGGGATCACGTTGGAGCCTTCCGCCACCCCAAAACGCCCACCATGCGGGTTGCTCCTCACAGTGCAATGGTTTGGCAGACGGTTCGGCTAGCCAAACACGACACACGGTGGGGTGAAGGAGTGGACACACGGTGGGGCTGATGGTTGATGTGGGCGAGACATATGAGACATATGAGACATGACAGTCATGAGATCCTGGAGGGGCAAAACATATGAGACATGTCCTTTGGTCTCCTCTTCCCAAATCACTTCTCCTCCAACATCCAACTCACTAACATGAAAGTGGAGAAGGGACCCCCCTGCGAAGGACTAGTCCTTTACAACAGCGTCCATGTCCACGTCCAACAGGGGTCGTGGACATGGTCACCTGGTCGACCAAACTGGCAGTCCAGGGGCGGCGACTTCGGCACAAAGTCCGCTTGCATGTCCTGAGGCGAACTCGCCCGGTTTCGCCGGTTTCGTGGCGCAAAGAAGCTACGACGTTCCTGTCCAAGTCATGAAGTGCAACAGCGCAGTGCTTGACATGGGTTGAAATCGGACTTGCTGGGTCAGCAATCCAATGCACTTGGCGTTCTGGCAAACCTGATTAGAAACTCCGAAGCCGGCAGGAGGACCCCTGAGACCAGCCACCAGTGTGCGGCATGTTTGTTACGTGCCTGGGAAACAAAAATAATTGCCCCTCCCAGTGAACAGCTGAGCGGCAATGATCACAAGCGCATCATCAGCATTCAGCGGAGGCAATGATGCTCTTGACAAGCCATCTCCAGCGAGCTCCAGCCACTCCTGGAGGTGTCAAAAGGAGGAACGCTGCTGGTGTTCACATGCCTTCGCTCCAAGTGGATGAGGAACTCTTCTCACCTCCGTTCAGACCCACATGATTGTTGGGGGCTCTCGGATCAGCCGCATGACCCGGGCAGAAGCAAAAACATCCAAAACCAGCTTCAACCCCAACATCTTCCCGAAAACATCATCCTTGAAGAGTGGTGAGCCCTCTGCATAAAAAGCCATCGCGCCGCTGAGCTGAGCATAAAAAATGCTGCAGAGCAGGAGCGCAAAGGTTGGAATCCAGTAGCATCTCCGGGATATCCCCCTTGTGCACCAGCAGAGCAACCTATTCTTGATGAATGAAAGCAAACGAACAGCTCCAGTACAGTAATTCCTCTTGTCACTAGTAGTAAGAATGCTACTAGTAGCGATGCCAGGAGCCCCTAGTAGCGTCCTTGCTCCTAATAGTAAGGCCAGGAGCCCGGGAACCCCTAGTAGTTTTTTGTTCCTACTAGTACCGTAATTCCTTGTTTGTCTTGCAGAGGACAAATAGTCGACACCTTCCTTATCAATCTTCCTTCAACGAGTCTGTGTAGCCCAATAGTGCCATAGTGGTCACAACAACCACGCAATATCCTGTGGCTATGGCTCCCAAATACGGAAGCACCGGTTTACCCAGAGGAACAACACGTTTCGAGAATCTGGAACTGCCAACTTCTCCAGAATCAAAGGATAAAATGACCTGTAGGGCCGACTGTCTCCGCAGGACCCCTGCAGGAGCCTTGGACGAGTTAGCACCACGCCGACGCAGTACTTCTCCTGCCATGCGGCGATGATGCTGCTGTTCAGCCATGACAGACATGGGCTCACCAGGTGATGAAGATAGGTCAAAAGGTGACACACCAAACAGGTTGGTTTCAGAGTATATAGCACAAGCTCTCAAGAGTTTCGTTTGCAACGTTCCCCGTCGTCATCTAAGACTCTATGAAATTGGGGAACCGCAACAGACTCAACAAGCAAGAACAAGGCTCTTTTTCCGGTGGACACAAAGCCCCGGCCCCCATCGAGTCTCTGGTTCCTAAGCGCTTGCCTTGAGTCGAGCATGGGCGGTCAGTGCTTTTTCACACCGGCCCACTCTAACGGCCAAGCGAGACCAAGAGAACGTCATGCATTGCGCATTGGGTTCTATGGCCTTTTTCGGAGAGTGACCAGTATCCTGAGTTACAAACACACCTAAGAAAGTCGGAATTCATCTTCTTCGTAAGGGGATCCGCGATCATGTTATCACCAGCAACCCAACGTAAGAAACCCCCCGATCTGTAAAGATCGTCTTTCAAGATGGCTACGTCAATGGCCGTTCTCTTGTCCTCAACCTGAGAATAGGTACACACCAGTTTGTTGATACAGTCGTATAGCGACCGAGAGTCAACTACTGAGACATAGGGGATGGCTGCCAAATGCCGTTCCCAATCCTTGGATTCCATGATCGTGCCCATCAGTTCGAGCAGGAGATAGCAGCGCCAATGAATATGGCCCAATGCCATGCACCAGTGACTGACATTCGGCGCTCAGGGTGTTGACCGTTTTCCTAGTTGAGTTTTGTTGACTTCCATGAGGTCACTGAAACCATATGTGGTTTGTCTTCTGTCTCCATCCTCTTGTCATAGAAGATCATCACGTAGCCTCCTTGGCTGCTGCAATTAAAGAGCTTGAGGAAGGTGTCATTGATCTTTCCATGTTCAAGCTCATGTCCTGGAAATTGTTTTGTGAAGATGGTCTGGCCGTCCATGGTGTATCAGACCACGTTCTGACACTATTTCCCTTTGTCCATTCATCTTCTAGGACCTCTTCAGTTGTTGTCATTGTTCTTCGGCCTGGTTGTAGGTCATGAAGATCTGGTCCTGGTTCAGCTCCTGGGTGGAAGAGGATTCTTCTAGGAGTGACATGATGTCGTATCCAGTGAGAAGATTGCTCCTCCCAGTGCGTTTGACCACGAAGCATCGGTAGCTACTCCAATCCTCAAGTTCTCTGGCTCGATCGGCATGATCTTGATGCCGCTGGCGGGGTGTTTCCGGGCTTCCTGAGTGATGGAATTCGCCTCGATGATGTCCTTGATGCTTGGTCGTGGGAACACCTGCTGGAGTAAGGCCACTCGTCCTGCGATGTCAGGTCGGCTTTCTTTGGCTAGCCAAGCTAAAGCTCCGATGCTGGCACGAAGTTGCGTGATTTCTTTCTCATCACAGAAGGTGTATCTCTTTTTCTCTCGTTGTTTTTCAAGGTTGATTTCGAAGAGCTTTTCCTGCATGTAGTTTTCCTGGTTCACGACGACGCTAAAGTCCTCTTGTTGCGTGAACATCTTGCCCGTAAACTTTCCAGCTCCATACTGGAACTTACCAAGCTTGTACTTGTTCTTGATCTGGTCCATTGCTTTTTGATGTTCTTCATCACCTCCATGTAGAAGATCATCTGTGGCCACGGCAATGACGCCACTGAGTACCATTGTCCCGCTCTGGGGATTGTGCTTGTGCTTGTAGTAGACGCAAGGGTCCGCTAAGGACTGTTGATACTGCAGCTGGCCTGTCAAGAATTTCTTGAGATGGTTGTACCATGCCAAAAGGACCATCTGTGAGGCCGTAGCAGACTTTTTCGCGAGGTGGAGTGGCATACAAAAGTCGGTCTATAGCGTCTCCACTATGAAAGGCTTGAGTGAAGTCCAGAAAGCCAAGCTTCCATTTGTGGCTTGCCACCAGTTGTGTCACCATGAGAGTTCCTTCTCGTGTGACTTGAGGAGTCGTTGCTTCAATGTCTTCCGAGCCCTCCTCACTGAATCCTTTCATCACATGTCTGGCCTTGGCCTTGCATGGTTCCTCCGAGTCCCAGTCAAGTAGGATTCCTTCTTGCTTTGCCGGTTCTACTTCATGAGGTTCTAGTGGTTTTGGTGTGAGGACCAGTCTGCTCTCCATGATGCGGTGTGGCATGGTTTGTCGAACTTTGGCGGACTCTTCAGGGGAGACGATCGAGTAGGCGCCAATATTGATGTTGTTGTTGAACTCCTTGCCAACAGCCGCCTTAAAGCACTTCTGATTCTTGGTGCTGAGTTCTTGAAGGCGGATTTCCTTTCTTTGTCTTGTTTTCATCAAGCTCTCAACTTTGTTTGCGTAGATCTCGAGGTGCTCGTGTCGTAGTCGCTTCGTCGGTGGTTGTTCTTGTAGTTCTTCGTCGTTGAACTCTTTTTTGTTTGTCCCAGCTGGTTTCCCTGTGTTGGTATTTGCCTGTTGTTCTTCTTGTAGCTCTTCTTGAGGAAACTCATCTTGTTCAATTCCTTGGTCAGGATGTAGGTTTTCTTGCGGTGCTTTGGTCCGGTATCTCTTTGCCGGAGGTGGATATCCAAGCGGTTCTTGAAGTCCTTCGTATATGGGAGCCATTGGTAGTTCTATTGGTGGTCTTTCTGGAGGGCTTCATCTTCGATGTCTGGTGGAAGTGGTTGATCGGAGAGGCCTAGAAAACCTCGTACCGGTTCCGTATGGAGATCCTTCTTGATCTTGACGATGTCATCGAGCCATCCAGAAAGAGCCATGTTCTCCTCTGACAATGCCCTCCTCAGACATTTGATTGGGCCCTTTGTAGTAAACTGTTGCGGAGGAATACGAAGTGCTCCAGTTGGTCCAAGATGTAGGGGTACTGGTTCCTGGTTCCCACGAAGTCGAAGTTGGGGACCTTAACCCAGACACAATCCTACATCACCATGACAATGAAGGAGGAAGCTGAGGGACAGGAGGAATGGGGCGTTGGTGCTCTCGTCGCTCTCAAAGACCGCAGGTTTCAAGAAACTGCTTTGATGAACGCTCCTGAACCTGTTGGTCTCGGGGTGGATCGTGATCCTCAGCTCTGGTGGTAGATGATCACCAAATTTCGTCAAGGTCGTGGCTCCAACTGCAAGTCTTTGGCATCCGGCGTCAACAGTGGCACAGGTGGCATCATCTGGGGTCTGTTGGGAATACTGGGATACCAGATCGCAAAACATGTTTTCATAGAAAAATAGACCACCAACACCAATACCCTCATATCTACTAGTTCCCAAACCCACCACAGTGTCACTCTCCATATATGATCGGGCGGACGGACCGTGAACGGATCCACTAGCTAGATCTGTACAGCCGGTGTGGCCTTCCTCCGGATGGTCGGCTCAGTGGACGAGAGAATGGTCGGCTTGTCCTCGTCGTCTCAGAAGTCGAGGTGCTGGTACACTACGTAGTGGAGCTGCTCTGGTACTTGTGGTTCGCGATCTCCAGGCTGCCCACAAAATGCACCTCAGGTGTGCTTTCCAAATGGTGTGGACGTGTTCATCGATGATGAGCTGCCGGGCTTCATCGGGGGATTCTTGCAATCCCTTTTCCAGTGAACGACTTGGCCACACTGAGTTCTTGTCTGCAGCTCGGCAATGGTCACTGAGTACGATCCAGGTCGGAGAGGCCGGTCTCGATCTCCTCGATTGGAGCCATGAAAGGTCGTTCGACGACCCGTCCCATAGCCTCGGGCCAGTTCTCTCGTTTTCTTGTCCTTGATCGACTGGGTGTACGTCTTCTTCTGTTGGAGGTAGGTGGAGAGAACCTCTGCCGCCTCAGATTCGGTGTCTTCAGAACGCCCTTCATCTTGTAGCTCCATAATGTAGTGCTCGATGTTGTCGATCTCTTCCTGGTCTGCGCCGTGCTCCTCAGGGACCTCCTCGGTGGCGTACACCCCATCATACTCAGTGTGAAAGAGGCCAACTGCTTTCTTGCGATCAGCTCCAAGTTCTGAAGCGGATAACTTGGTTTCGTTCTTTCTCAGCCAGCCCTTGATTGAACTGGGCTTGATGCAGCCATGGGTGTGTGCAACAGGGCCTTGGCGTCGCTCTCTGTCAGCTGCAGCCCATTGATCATCAAGAAGCCTTCATACTCAGGTGGGAGCACGATCTTGTGTTGCTGAACCTTGCGAATTGCATTGTCCCATTTGGCGAAGTATTCTCTCCAGGCTTCATTCTTCCGTCTCCGGAGGTGGTACGTGATGCGGGACATGGCGGTCAACATATGCTCTTGTTGGTCATCTCCAAAACGTTCAGGTTTGTCCATATCTTCAAGAAGACGCTCAGCACCTTGTGGATCTCCGAGCCAGGCAGGATCTTTTGCCCAGTGCTTGTACAGCTCGAAGGGTGCTCCTGTTAGCATCTTCAACAACAAGGGCCCTCGCGACTTGGCCTTGTCCTTGGTAGTCGCGATCCACAACTGGGCCTTGATTTGATCGTGCTCTGGGGTTCGTCCATCCCAGGCTGGTGGAGGTCCGGAAGCCCCTCTTCCTTCTCGACTATCTTCACCTTCATCTTCTACCCGCGCCTATGACGTAGCGGACCGCGACCCTCTTGTTCACTCTCCATTTGCACGAAGCGTTGGAGCCGAGCGAAGGTTTCCCGGTCACTCCCAAGTGCGTCCTGCCCACCGTGAGCCCCAAAGGAACCAGCAGGCGGCGACCCGCTGCCAGGTGGCTCGTCCAAGTCGCCATCTGAAGGCGGGACGACCGTGCGCTCGGCCATCCCAAAAACCTAACCGCTCAGGATCCACCAAGAAAAAGAGTCTTTCCCCAAAAACCAACCCGGTCGGAACCGGGCTCCGCTACCACTATGGGGAACCGCAACAGACCCAACAAGCAAGAACAAGGCTCTTTTCCCGGTGGACGGACACAAAGCCCCCATCGAGTCTCTGGTTCCTAAGTGCTTGCCAGGAGTCGAGCATGGGCGGTCAGTGCTTTTTCACAGACTCATTTCTGGGGGTGTTGCGCGACTTTAGCTGGAACCACGGCAAAACCATGTCCAAATGAATTGTCTACTGTCTACTTGTCAATCTACTTGGGATCTTCTGCTGTGTTCTTGCAAGCGCTAAAATCTTCCGTTCGCTCAAGCATTCAGCTTCCGCCAACTGTCCTCCGGTTCATCTTTCGCCCTGTCTGGCTTCGGGAAGAAGCGCAGCTCCAGCGTGTTCAGGCCTGGGAAATGTGGATGACGCTTTCGACCAAGGACACCATTTGGGGAGGAAGAAAGAGGAGGAGGAGGAGAGAAGCAACACAAAACACAAGGAGATGAAGAAGTGGATGCCAATAGCATTTCAATGAGTGCCCCTTCGGCCTCTCGGGGATGTTCGGAATGTTACAAACTCGCCGACTCGCCCGAACTCCGAACGAGTGCGTTTGGCCTCACGCCGAACTCCGGCCTTGCTTGAGCAAAGGCGTGAGGTTGTAGCACTGCTCTCGACGCACCTCGGTCCGCGGTCGGCGGACGCTCCATCGGTGAAACAGAGGTCAAAGTTTTATTTAGAAACTAGAAGGTGATCTTCGGAAACTTTAGGGCTTTCTTCGGAAACTAATCTTCGGAAACTATGCGGTTTCTTCGGAAACTTTACGGTGTTCTTCGGAAACTGTTAAATGGAAACTAATCTTCGGCAACTCAAAAGTGATCTTCGGAAACTTTAAGGTTTTCTTCGGAAACTGTTAAACTATTCTTCGGAAACTCTACGGTGTTCTTCAGAAACTAATGTTCGGAAACTACAAAGAGTCGAAAAGCAACATCAAACCTGCACGGAAATCTTTCTGCAGATCGCAAAACAAGCATGTATATACCGTAGCCGTTACAAGGTACGTCAATATACCACCCACCTACCCCCCCACCCACCCCCCACCCACCCAGTGCTCCTTCATGCAAATTGGTTGCAACATTGTAAAAGTTCTGAGGAATACTTTCTAAAGTTAGCTTTCTGAAGATCGCGAAATAGTCTCTGAAGATCGAAAATCACAAAATAGTTTCTGAAGATCGCAAAATAGTTTCTGAAGATCGCGCAATAGTTTCTGAAGAATAGTTTCTGAAGAGTAGTTGCGGAAGAGTACCAAATAGTTGCGGAAGAAAAGTTTCAGAAGAATGGAGAGTTGCGGAATAGGATTTTGTTCGTGAAACAGAAAACGAAGCCCCGTTCGTAGCGTCCTTGCTCCTAGTAGTAAGGCCAGGAGCCCCTAGTAGCGTCCTTGTTCAGAGTGCACAAGTTATCCCAAGTTTGGTGGTTTATAATACGGACCCCGACCTAAAGGTGATGTTCTTTTCTGGTGCATTTGGGTCCAGAGCCCTGAGGCGAAAAGGCGGTCGGGAGACCACCTTAAGTAGGTGACCGTGTTCATCCACTCCCATCTCTCCCAACTTCTTCACCTTCCTCTAAAAAAGGCGATAATCCGCTCCAGCCCAGGTCGCGTGGGTCTCTAGACCCGCGCCAAGGGTCATATGAGTCTTCCACCAGTTGGACAAGTTAGGCCGCACACAAACATGTGCTTCTTTCCAAAAAGAGAGAATGATAAGCATCATTGTATGTTTCAATTGATAAGAAAAAGATAAAGATTAATAAAACATATCTATATAGAATCGAAATATAGAACTAAAACGAACAAAAGTGTCTTCATCTTGTCCTTCTTCCCCTTCTCCACACACTCCTCCCCCACATCTTGTGTCGTCAAGTGGTTCCACCAAGTGACATGGAGGTGCTTGGGCGGCTCGATGGCCACGCATTGCCGACCATTCATCTTGCCCTGGAAATATGGCAGTCATGAGGACCCGTACCCAACTGTAATCAGTTCATGCGTTTGATGTAAAGTCATGCGTAAGTCATGTCACTCCAATATGATTTGGGGTCCAGAGTTGAGACTATGGCACAGTATGGCACAGTGTGGCTCGATTCCTTAGTCCTTCTCCACCTCTCCCTTCTTCTCCAAAAAAACCGACACGAAGACGACGCGCCGACCGCTCTTCCGGCGGTGTTCCGCACCTGGACTTTGTGAGGCCAAGCAGGACCGCTCAAGTCACCCCCGTGGATGTGCACCGACTCGGTGGGCTCAAAGGGTCACGACTCGTGGAACCCACGGGCCGCGACTCGACTGAGTGACAGACCGTGCATCCCCAAACAAGAAGGACTCCCAAAGCGACTCGTGTCCCCCACAAATCACGCGGCCGATCCGACGGGTCGCACGGGTTCCGAGGTCGCGCTCCAAGCTCCGGGGCCCGCAGGTGAACCGCCCAGCATTGTTTCTTCCAATGCGCGGCCTGGAAACCGCCAGGAACCGAGGAATGCGGGGATTGATGCGGTGGGAAGGGAATTCCGCAGAGTCTGTCCGGAAGAGACGTACTCACAAGCAAGCAGCACTGGATGTTCCACCTGGTCTGTTTCCAGAAACGTACTGACACGTACATACAATATGAACTCCTGAACCCTCTGTTCGGTGCTACACATCTACATTCTACCTACCTGCTGGGAGCAACCCAGATGAGATGGCCTAGGCACCCTGCATGACTTTACGTGCACCCTGCATGTGAATGTCCAAAAGGTCTCACAACAGCGAAGGTCTCAAAGCAACTGCCTCTGGTTCCATTTCAATTATGTATAGCCCTGCAAAGTCCCCATCAACACAGAGCCTGCGCTGCGAAGGTCAAAGAGAACCTCAGAGGCTGCAGAAGAAGGGTGACAATTCTGGACACTAGATGGTTAGTCCCCCAGCGCCATCCCATAAAACATCATAAAACTAATGTTGCCCGGCCTAGAGGCAATTGGACTCCCTGCATGGTGCCAAACCTGAAAATTAGCACCTTGAAGAGCGCGAAAACATGGAGGATATAAAAGGAACATGAGATGTTTTTCGTTTTCAAAACAGCAGAACCTCCTGAGCTTCCCGGGCGTTGAGGTGCTCGAAGCGTAACTGTGCTTCAGCACGCCAGCGCCAACGGAGGGGTGAAACCTGCGCGAACGACATGACGGTGAAGGCCCCGTTCAGTTGCGAAACCCAAAATGGAAACCCAAAGGGCCAAAGGGAAGAGACACCCAACCTCAAACCCAAAGCCATTGCCTCCAACCTCAATCCGAGGGCCTCCAACCCAAAAGCGAGGGCCTCTAACCTAATAGCAATGGCCTCGAACCTAGAAGCCAGTTTACAAAACAAAAAGAACTCTGGCTCATCCATACCAACCACTCCTTGCGCACGCATCACTTTTTTTCGGTTCACAACTGGCACCACTCTTCCAAGCGAGCAGGTTCGGCTCATCCACCCGATCCAGGCGGCAGGGTGGACACACGAAATGTGCGGGCCTCAGTCACCCGCAGTGGTCAGGTTCATCCACAAGAGGTTGAAAGCACAGGGAAAGAAGCACTGCGGGTGTGTGTGGTGCGCGGGATGTGTTGATGTATGTTGACGTATGTTCATGTGCGTTTCTGGTTGTTTTGCTCATGGTCGGTCCAGCACCAGCAGCCTGGTAGCGCAAAACAGCGTGTTTAATATTGAGGATGTCATTTCAGCCGGAAAAAGGCTCTTCTCCGACTTCTCCACCTGTGATTCAGTTGTCCAGCGCAATGAAAAAGGCGTGATCAACGGGAACACAGTGGTGTCTAAGACAATGGAACAAGGACCAAGAGAGAAGACATGTGACATGTTTCTCTCGTTTTCTCTGAGACAATGGAAACCATTAATCAATCTGAATCACAAGGACCAGCGATATATAGTATATACACCTTTTTCCAGTTGGGTCCCTGGTTGCGAAGCACCAAGACGAGACAACGATTCGGATTTTAAACCTCCCGGAGACTTCTCCAAGCGGTGCTGGCTGACCCAATCTGAGCCCAGTGACACCGCTTTGTGCAGTGCTCCCGACACACCTGAACGGCGACTCGCGCGACGCGCGCGACTGAGTGGGCACACGGAGCGAAAGCCGTGTCCGAGGAGGTCGCCGGGTGTGTGGCGCGCGGATACGGTGCAGCATCAGTCAGCGTCTTCCGTTCGTCACAGGTTCATGCTCGGCACCACTGAGCTTGGCGCAGTTTGTGTGGAGAGAACCTGAAGGCGCGCGCGCGCGTGCGAGTTTCTCAAAGACCCACAGACACCCAACATACCATCCAGACTCTCAAGTGCGGGGGCCTAACTTGGGCTGTGGTTCCAGATAGGGCACAAATCGACCGAAACCTGTGGATTCTGGATATGTACTTGAGCCCCGCCTATATTTGGAGTGACACCAGCTGAATCCGCCAGCCGCCTTTTAATGGTTTGGGTGGGCTCATTTCCGAGGACCCAAGGAAACCAGGAAACCAAACCGAAGTCTCCATCCTCGAAGACCTGTTCTGGTCGAGCCCGGTGGACCCCAACTTGCAGTCCCAGGTGCAGTTGCACACGCGACAAACAATCAAGCCCGGGCGGCCTGAGTGTTCAGCGCATATTTGGGGTGTTGGTGTCTTTTTCTCCATGCCAAAGCGGAGGTAAACTCAGTGTGTTCCACAGAAAGCATGCCAATTTAACATAAACTGGAAATTCCCAGGACCACACAAGAATATACGTTTAATTCTATTGCCATCTTTGCATCTGAGGGCGCCGATGACTGAGGCCGCACGCTGTTTGGTACAATTTGTTCGGTCAATCCACAAATGCACTTGATTTCCCGACCTCACAGCCAAGCGGAAACTTGGCCAAAGAGTGCTCACAAAAGTTCATCAGCTGGAACCCCTCAATGACTCCTGTTAGAAAATCTTCGACCTAAAAGGACACTGAGACGCAAAGGCAGTCAAGAGGCTGTCCGTATTTCCCAGGCACCCACCAAACCCCCCAGTTAGGTGTCTCCTTTTAAGTCTACCGTACAAAGATCCCAATTCTCACCTTCAGCCGCCTAGCTGCTCTCCCCACTGGTCAGAAACATGAATCAAATGCGAACCAGTTCATGTGACCCGGCTCCACCGGGCTCCCTTGCTGGGCGGCGGCTTTGGCGGCTCCTTGGGCGGCTCGGGGAGGTGAGCTTCATGCGCTTGGCCTGTCACGGTTGCACCCTGAAGAGTCTGAAGTGGATGGGGATCTTCTGCAACGCTATGTGTATATATATATATATATGATACTATTCAAAAAAAACAGAGACAGCATGTTACAGGCTCCAGGTGGAGTGTTTTGCAAAAAAAAGAAACGAACAGTCGGCTGTTTTGGAGCGTTGGAGAAGAAACAAACGCACCGGCTCTCTCCCCCTCCGAGCTCCAGGGCGCCTATGCTCGCAGGCGACCGTGGCATGGAGGTCGGACCGCTGGGCGGCGCATGGCGCACCCCGTTGGTGGCAGGCCGGGTGGTTGGCGCTGGGACCTGGCGAGAAGCCGCAGAAGCCGAACGCGAGAAGCCGGTAGCCCCAATCCAGTTGGAGTGTGCGGGGGTAGGGAGAGCTGAAGACATGTTTGACCACATCGTTGCCGTTGAGAGTCGACTTTGAGAGTGCAAAAGGCGAAGGTCCCAGTGGTCACATGGTTTAGGAGTCTTTGGAAGCGGTGTCCATGCACCCTGGTCAACAGTAGTTGGCAGCAGTTCACCGTTGGGAACGAGTTTGATCCATGGCACACACCTTACACGAGTCCGTGACTCCTGCTTCTCACCCACGAAAAAGGAGCCGAAGCTCTTGGAGGTTCTAGGACCTGACCACTCCGGGCACCGAAGAACGGCCGCAGCGCACGGTACGACCACCTGCCTTGGCTGGCTGCACTGGAGCCTCCCAGGTACCGCTCCCCAACGGCACCTCCACCGTGGGTGGGATCCTCGTTGCGGCGCAAGGGAGCCGGATTTCCCCGGCGCGCCCCACCCGCCACGGGCCACACCCCCCCCAAAACGACAGTCTGAGGTGCCCCGACAGTCTTGGGCGCTTCATCCTGAGGAGGTGGAAGTGGGGAAGAAGGGGTCTGAAGCAGTCTGGGTCTCCGTCATGAAACATGGGTCATGAACTTGCTGTTAACACTCCAGCATGTGAACATACATTAACTTGCCACTGGTTGACTCTTCGCAGCATCTACAGGAATGGTCATTCGTCTACAGCCTCCGAAGAAAGCCCTCCCTCCGAATCAACCATGGGATTGCGGCATAGCAGGTGACACCCCATGTCATTCACGTATTCACCATGTATTAAAATCAGACAACGTCAACAATATATAGCTAGTAGTAACAAGTGCCACGCTAGTAGTAACAGGTCAGGTGCCTTACTACTAGTAACAATAAAGCTAGTAGAAACAAGAATTAAATACAAACAATAAACTACTAGGAACAAGTGCATCGCTACTAGTAACAAGTGCCTTACTAGTAGTAACAATAAAGCTAGTAGAAACAAGAATACTCTGTAATCAGATCTCATCGTCTCGGGCCCCCCGGCCTCGGGTCGGAGGGCGCCCCCACAAAGCCGCTGGGGTCGAAGGGTCGCCTCGGGGACCGACCGTTCGGCGTCAGGCATTCGGGGGGGGGGTTGACAGCGGCCCCCCACAGGGCCGTGGTTTTTTTGCTTCGGATCTCGGATCTGGTGTGTTCTTTTTCAAGAATTGTTGCATCAAAAGGGGTCTTGTGTTCTGTTGGATCGACAACGGAATGTTTTTCTCAAAAGCGAAGGGTCAATTGAATTCTTGTGGTGCTTTTTGGCTCTGCCAGTCAACGTATATTTTTGGTGAAGCCACCAAAATGTTCCTTGTAATCAGCTGAACCGTTGAGTTGGTCGGGTAGGCCAAACTGTCCATGCTCCTTTTTGACCATGTGTCGAAACCACATGACACCACGTGAAACCACCAGCTCCAATCTTCACTTCCGCCTTTGAAATGGACTGAGCAGGTCCTCCTGAGGTCCCCGACTTCGCAGGCTCGAGCGCCGGACTTCGCCCACCTCACTGGCTTGGATCTCGGGTCGATGCGGCTGCGGCGCTCTGGCTGCGCTTTTAGGGGCTCCGGCTGGACGTGGCTGGAGGCTCATCATCTTCGATGATACTGACCTCCTCATCACCTGAAGCCCCGTGGCTCAGGCCAAGTCAAGGCAAAAGAAATCCACCAACTTTCCCTGGTCGAGCCTGCAGGCGCTGGTACCGGCGCACCGACCTCAGGAAATCTGGACGGCAAGAATCTGCAAACGAAAGACCATCACGAATCCTTGACTGGTGGATCATTGCACACACTGAAGGCTTGTATAATACAAATGTACAACATATATATATATATTTATACACTTCCATATATATATATATACACATATATGAGGATGGCAACCAAAAAAAGTTCTTCAAAACAATTGGACAGGCCGTGCGCCCGTGCATCTTCAGCCTCCGTGTCTTCTTCCTCCTCTTCCTCCTCTTCCTGTCCAAGAGCTTCTTCTAGACCTCAACGTCTGCGATCGACAAATGGGCATCGCGCACATAAAGGCAGAAAGGTGTCCCCAAATGAAACCAAGTGAGTGCTCAATCTATGTTGAGGTTCCGACCCGGCTGTCCACCAGCAGCCTTTCACAAAGGCCCAGGGCAATGAAACAGCCCCACACATCCAGGATACACAAGAAACCCAAGAAAGAGCCTTCATTGAGCCGAGTGAAGCATGGCAGGTTTTGCTGTTCACGTGCCCAACTCAGAAAAGGAGTACATGTTGCTTCTGCATCACAACAGGCCTGGGCATCCTCCTTGTCTTCCTCAATAATTGCGACACTCGAAGTAGTTGCCTCCAAGTCATTTGTTGCGCTTGGGGCAGTCTAGGTCTATACCTGTATGCATCTATATACTGCATACAATCATCCATATTTTAAGACATGCACGCTGTGTCCTGTTGCCGCACTTCAGGTGCGCTTTGCGTTTTAGAGAAGCAAGCTCAACATCCACCTGCCTTCTTGGTTCGTTTATTCTACATCAAGATCAATATAATTACCGAGATAGGAGATCAGAAAACTCTTGAACTCCCGTTTGGAAATCCTTCAAAAAAGGACCAGCCAAAGCCCCTGATGTCCCCTAATGTCGCTCGAAAGCAAGCATGACCAGCACATTAAAAAAAACAATAGCCTGCTTTTTGGGGTGGCAAACATGTTTCAGTTGGCACTTTGGGCTTCTTTCCATCCACAACCCACTCTGGACCCACAACCCACCGACCTCTGCTGCCGTGGAGTTGGGTGACGCGGAGTTCGCGGGCACGTGCCCCGAGGAGGACACGACCACCTCACCGGAGCTGGACCTGGAGTGCACCGGGCGCAGCCCGCGCAGCCGCCGAGCCCAGTTGTGTCTTCATTTGGACCAGCAAAAGAGAACTTTTCAAGCTCAATTGTGTGCTCCAAGCGGGAGTGGGTGCTTGTTGGTCAACACCAAGGCACATAGGAGATCTTACCAAGTCTTACATGCCCCGTGGATGCTTCCTAGGTTGGGGGGCCTGATTTGGGGGGGTTGATGTGAGATTGTTGGGCGGTGAACTTGTCTAAGGTCATGTCTTGGACAATCTTGGTAAACGATGTACAATCAAATTAAGAGCAAAAATCATAGAGCATAGCCATCATTCCATCATACAGAAAATACTTTGTAAACTCTGAGTTCGCTGATTCTATGGAACGCTTAGCTTCCCCACTGATCGCCGTTCGGCCGCCAGGCGAAGAGCGCCCGGGCCTCCCGCTTGTTCGGGCCCGGGAAGCCCAGATCATTTGGAGTTCCAAAAGAACCCCGCCCGGGTTACTAGTAGCTTCTTGCTACTAGTAGCAATGGCCTCCACCCTGGTAGCTTCTTGCTACCCCCAAGAAAGAGACCAGTGGCCAAAGATCAATCAGAGATTCCGGGCCAGCTGAACCAGCTGGTTTGGCCTCTCGGCCGACGCCTCCCATCAAAAAAGAGAGAGAGAGAGAGAGAATCATGATTCCAAAACCTGTGAGGCGCTCGGATTCTTGCCTTTTTGGTCAAGGACCTCATAGTGGGGGAATCGTCCCTCTCACACCCGACGAAGCCGACCAAAGCCCCCCGGCGCGTTCGAATGGTCGGCCTTGGCGATGAGTTCCCGACAGTTGTCATTCATGTGGGCCAAGGGCTCCCAGGTGGACTCCTCGGCGTTTCCGGCGGAACTTTGTGTCCACGAAGATGTGAATATGGTGATGATGAGGGCGTTTTTGGTTCGTCCTGTTGATGATCCTGATGAACAGTTGGGAGCCGTAACATACACAAACGTCTTTTGCGGCTCAACTGAAATCAGAATCTCTAGGACTCTGCGGCACTTGAAAGGCTCAATTGCTGAAACTGCACTGGAATGTAAAGAACTTCTTTGCGTCGATGTCAAAACCTCTGGTTGACTCTACATTGGCAGCTGAGAAGGGAACATCTTCAGGATAGCCTTGCCACTTCACCAAGAAGAGCCTGGAATGCCACAGCTCGTGCTCCAGAGAAGGTTGGTCGCACCACACACCCACCCACCCACCCACCCAAACATGCCAAGCGTGCTCTGAGCCATCCTCATTCTTTCGGTATCTGAGGATGTCCTCGACCTCGAATTCCTGTGCTCTAAAGTGCCCGGCGTTTCCCAGCTGAATCTGATTGAAGCTATATATACAGTATATATCTATACAGTGCTGTTGCCAATTTTGCAGACATCGAAGACTGCTTTGATCATTTAAAAACAAACAAATCACAACAAGTCCTCCTCTTGCAACTGATCATCATCCTGTGCGCAATCTCAAGAGCAATATATCCTGTAGATTCTTCGTAACTGTCCTCATGCTCAACACCAAAGGTCTGATGAGTCTCACACCAAAAATCTGGACATCCGCACCCCCACAACCGTCCCGTCGCGCCGTGCCCGCCGTGAAACACGGGGCTCGTTCGCCCGGCTCCCTCGCCTCTTCGCCATCCATGGCGGGTCGGTCACCGAGTCTTTGGGTTCTATTTGCTTCCTGATATGATTTCCTCAGCTCTTAGCTTCTATAGTCTTTTCTTAGTGGTGTTTCAACATGGTTCCCAACCCGTTCAGTTTTGTCTTCCTATACTCGTTTTTCTTTAGACAGCACAAGTTTGGTCTGGCTCAGCAAACCCTAAGGTGGCTCCAAGAAGATGTGCAGCTAAGATTTGTGGAACTCCGAGTCTACAATTTGAATGAGTTTGTTCGCTCAAATTTATACGAACTACTCTGGCACAAAAGCCTGCAGTTAGCAATAACGCACACATGCCAACAAGCGATGCACAACCGCACCAGGCACAAAACCGTTCCACGCACGGACTCATGGTGTCTATATGACAGTGTTGGATCACGCGCCCTTACCAGGACCACAAGTTGTTTTTCTCGGTTGCCGCCACGCTCCAGGCTCCACTCAGCACCCATCAAGTCTTGGAGTGCACGAGTGGCGAGTGGTAAATGGACTCGTCCGCCTCACCGAGTTTGAACTCAAGAAGCATTCCAGTTCCAGATCAATTCCAGTTTTGATTTCAATACGCTTCAATAGGCCAATGACAGCTTATCTCCTTTTTCCCCAAACGGTAGTGGTATCAAAGCCGGGTGTCCAATCGTGCATTTTGACTGCGCGCAGAATCTGGTTGGCCGAGCGGGTGCTCTTCCAGACTGCGCGTTTGTTGCAGCGCCGTGCGCACTTTGGGACTTGGTGATCGCCTTTCGCGACAGGCGCAGTGGTCCAAAGTTGACTTTTCGTGACAGGCGCAGAAGATCGGAGCAGCTTTTACGTCCATGTGCAGATTTCGTGGCAGGCGCAATGCTTTGGACATGGTGGTGGTCTTCGGTGTGCTCTGACTTCGTGGCAGTGTGCATGAGCCCGCGCCATTGGGGAAAGGGAAGCAGCGGCGTAAAGGCGACATGTCGTTGGGGAGCGAATGATTGGCGGTGCCCACAAGGCTTGATGTTACATTGCTGTATCTGGTCTATGGCATACAGTGTGG